TACAGGATGCTGGCCTGCAGGCCAGTAAACACTGTATCGCCGTTATTAATAAAGAGCCACGGGCTTTCAAAGCCTCAGGACTGAGGGATGTCAGATTTGTTTTCTTGAACTCACATAGGCTTGCCTGGAGCTCTGTCTTAATTTGTTTAGATGTAGCATCAATTTTCCTTATGAGGTGGCTATGCCAAATTTCATTTACTTTAACCTCTGTGCTGAAAACCAGATTTGATCTAAGCTGTAGTAACAAGTAGTCATTCTGTGGAGAAGGAAATATTTATCACTAATGCAGAAATGCAGGCCTAGCATGACAGCAGAAGCCCTGGAAGCAATGATGTGTATGGAGACATATATTGTGTCTCCATACACAAGAGCAGCTTAGAAGAAGAAGAAACTGGAGTGCTACACAGCATTTGGAACCCACATTTTGATTCTATTCAGGAAAAGTAAAAGTAAAGTAAAAGCAGAAAAAGAAAAGTAAAGCAGACTCCACTTAGAGAACCAGTCAAACAGCCCTGGCTGCATAATCTACAGTTCTGCAAGTCGCTGTTTGTACAGTTGCAGATCAGACTGTCGTTCTTACCAACTCAATACATTTTAACTGGAATCTGAATTTTTGTCTACATGAAGTTACCACACATTTACAAAAATATAGTCACGTTCAAATGGATAAAAATAGGAGAAAAAAAACATCACTAGAAAGTTAGTTAAGGCATGGAAAAAATCTTGTTTATACAGGCTGTGGAACCTTCACCCTTAGGGCCTTTTGACACCAGGTTGGAGAAAGTCCTGAATTATGTCGTTGAATTTCAGTATTGACCTTGCTTTGAGTAGGAACTGGACTTGACTTTGACTGGACTTGAGATTGCTGCAAAAGGATCTCCCTCCTTTCCCACCCGAATGAGTCTGTAGTTCTGACTCATGCTGGTACTGCTAAACCACTTGCATTCAATCTCTGCATAAGCAAAGAACTTCTAAGCCATGGATTTCAACACAAAAACATGATGCATTGGTGTTGAGGAGCTCTATTATTCAAAAATCTACAAATTAAACAACTTGGAAAGTAAAAAAGGTAACATATTATTAATATATTTTGACTGTAGACCTGATGGTGAGAGAAAGTGAATTTTTTTTTTTTTTTACTTTCTGTGTCTTAGAGAAAACATATGCACATTTTTTAACAGCTTGACTTGCACATTGCTTTGTTAAACCTCTGCTCTAGAGGTGTTCAGCTTCAGCAGCCTGGTCTAACAGGGTTAAGAGTCTTTAGAAGAGTTTGTCTCTATTTTTGAGGGGGATTTGGTGCTAGGAGGTGGGCTGAAAAACCATGAGATATTAGTAATTTCAAGTGAAACAGTTCTTGTCAATTGTTTAGTTAACTAAAGAGTACATAGTTTCCTCAGCCTTCTCTAAGAACAACTGGGAACAGAGATCCTTAGTTCTGAGGGGAAAACATATTTGAAGTTCTATCATTGTTTTACCATCTGGTGAATGATGTGCACATTAATAATTGGAATGTACTAGAAGACTACAAGGGAAACAGGAAGGTTTGCTTTGCCTACAAGTTTCACAGATCTGCTGTATAAAAAGTTCTCTGAAGTCATTACCCAGGAGTGAACTACAAGTCAAGCCAATTTAAACAGGATGCAGCAGCACAGCCACCACAGGCTTGCATTTACAATTGTTATCTTCCCATCTGCTACAATTGCACGTTGAGCAGCATGCCCCAGAAAATCTTCTGGACTTTATACAAACCACAAGCCACACACAGAACTGGCTAGGCTGGCCAGTGTTAAAGTTTCAACAGCCTCAGAAAAAAAATTAAAAAAAAAAAAAATCACAAACAAAACAGTACTGCTGGCGTTATCAAGAGAGAAAATACACTGCTTTATTTGCACATTGTGTCAATTATTCCACCTGCTTTCTACTTCATAGATATTTCCTAGCTTATACTTATGGCAGCAACAAAAATGCAGTAACAGATCCCATAAGAAATTGCTCCTACATTTCTGCTTTTCTCATTGATCCCCTTAGAAGCTCCTTTTTTACCCAACTCCTTCCCAAACTCGTTTGGATGGATTTGGATTGTCCTCTGATCGACCTAAAGGGACTGCTGTGCCAGGTCTTTGCCCAAAGTGTCAGTGTTCAGTCACCAAACGCGGACAGCCCCGACCCTTGAGGTGCACTGTGCACACAGCGCCATGTCCGTCATGACCGCTCAGGAAAACGGAAGGGGCCTTGAGCACTTTATGGACTGGAGGCCTTGCTTCTTCTATGGAGAGGTGTGGGAACACCCCAGCGCAGGGCCAGAGCCTGTGCAGCCCTGTGTGCTCCAGCTGCTCCGAGCCACGGCAAGCGCTGCAGGCCCGGCACCGCGCCTCTGTGCCACCCGCAGCCTGTGGCAACAGTGACACGGGCAGGCACGGCTTTGCCAGCCAGCAAACAGCTAATTCAGCACGGTGAGAGATGAGATTTCATCAGTCAACCTTTGAGATTTCACAGCCTGCATCCTCCAGAACAAGACAGCTTTGGAGCGCCTGTGTGGCTGCTGTGGTGGGTGCAGCAATCTGTCCATGCTTAGTGCTTACACGCTGATTATCCCCTCACATGTTGTAATTAGGTGTTTTCCTTGGCCGAACACAGTGCCAGCCACGCCTCAGTACCTCCCTGTTCATGGGAGGGACGCAGAGACAAATCTGCAATTGAAGGCTGAGGAGAGGGCATTTTGAGAGCAGCACTCCTCACTCGTTACGATCTGGCGCAGGACCAGCTCCAAGCGTTAAAGGGTCAGCGGAGCGGCACCGCGGCTCCCCCCAGGCGGGCCCTGCGCGCACGCGCCGCTGCCGCCGCAGCGCGCGATTCCCGCCGCCTCCGCCGGGGGCGCCAGTCTCGCGAGACCCCAGGCTGCCGGCTCTCGCGCGACTTGCGCGGCCGGTTGCGCTCTAGGAAAAAACAAAGCCCCACAATGTAGTATGAGAGTTCTGTTTCAGGATTTGTCTGCAGGACTTGATAAAATTCTTGAACAGTTCTCTTGTTTCCTAGAGTCCGAAGAAAGGTGAATCAAAAGGGGTTTGTGGAAGTCATCTGACCCAGCCTGTCACACAGAGCCTGGCAGACTTACTGAAGCTGAGACTGATCAGGACACTGTTAGGATGTGTGCATTTACATACAAACTGTAAACCAAGCAGAGTTTCCTTGTCTAGTTGTGTGTTTACCATAAAAGTCAGCCCTAGTGAGTCTCACAATCCAAGTCTGCCTTGAATGCCCAACTTTGATAAGAAAACTACTGAATTAATAGGAGATATGTATGCCAAAAAAGTTATCCTAATAATGCTTTTTAAATACTAGTCTGGTTAAGAAGCCTGTGTCAGAACTTCCCCCTTATACCTTGGGTTTGGGGTTTTTTTGCATTGCTTATAGGTTTTTTTTAGGCCACACTTTAAAGGACTAAAAAAGTTAAAAGACTGTGTGAGGTGAACAGTGGTGAGTTAGGTGCTTGTGCCAGTTGTTAGCAGCCTGCTGAGCTCTGGACTTGAGGAATGCTGGATCTTCCTAGCACCACTGTCAAAATCTTGATTTTAAAATTCCTAGCTACTGCTGACAGAGTTTAGCATGTTTGTACTTCAGGAGCAAAAGGTTGGTTACTTGAAATTCCAGCAATTTAGTAGGCTGTGTGACAAGTCTGATTGTTAAGGCTGCTGCTGTGTTCAGGTGACCAACCTGCAGTGGTTCTGGCTGTGCAGCCTGGTCCCTTTCCTTCCTGCCAGCAGGAAATGCTGCTAAAAGCTGAGCTGGGAGGACACCAACAGTGCAGAACTCTCATGCCCACACTAGCACAGGCTTAGCTTAAAGCAGTTGGGACTGCATCCTATGGCCAGTGTGCCACTCAAAGGAAAAACAGTTATGCTTTAAAACAGTTCTCATGTTTGTCCTCTTCCCTTTCTCTTCTCCTCTGTAATTACTTGAAGGCTTTATCAAGACTGCATCAGCTGAAACTTTTGGGTCACACATTAGTTGTTGAATTTGCAAAGGAGCAAGAGAGTGCACAGGTACTTAGCCAGCCTTCTGTCTCAGACAAGTGCAAAAGGTATGTGTAGAGTAATTTCCTTGTTATGTTTGTGGTCAAGGAAAGGGGATTCTAGATTCATGGTACTTATGTAGTACTTGTGACTCAAAGGATAAATTGTAACCACTTGGAAGTCTTAACAGGCAGGTTCAGATCTATAGGACAGTGACTGCATTCCTCCCAACAGAACTGTGTCATTTGCACCTGTGAAATGTGCAAATAAGTGACAAAAGCTATATGATAGTGCTTAATTAAAAATACTACAGTAGAGTTGTCAAGTTATTTATTCCACTTTCTGAATATGAACAAATCAATAGTTTAATACCTTTGAATTTATGGCCTCTGAAGAGAGTGCATGATAAATAATTAAAATTATTTTCCTTTGAGTGGGTTTAAGTCAGGAGTGTTTGAATATAGGGAGTCTTACTTAAATCTGCATAAGTATTTATTTTAGAAGGCTATCGCTACTGTAATTATACTCATTAATTAATTATGAAGAATTGGTAACAGCTGTAGTAATGCAATTGGTAGAAGATGTTATAAACACCTGTGGTAATTTATTTTTATATTTATTAATAGATGATGCATATTTTATATATTACATTAGACATACCTAATTTTTGCCCTGTTTTAATTAAGACTAAATTAATTTTCAGTCTAGAAGAACCAGTGAAAGAAGAAGAGAAGATAGAACCAAACTGTATTAAAATAGAGAATGGAATTGCACCCAACCATGGGTTAGTGTTGGGGTTTTATTTATCTTAATTATTTTATTTTGTTACAGATTATTTTGAAATGTGTTATGTACTGTTGAACAAGATGCTCCAAACAATAACTCCTATGCTACTGTTCCTTGGGCATGCAGGAGTTGTGATAAAGATGGAGTTTCAGTTCCTCAAGTTTAAAATGCTCACATCTGCATGGTGAACTGGTGCTTTGAGCTTGTGGATGTTCCTGCCAGCAGGAAATGCTGCTAAAAGCTGAGCTGGGAGGACACCAACAGTGCAGAACTCTCATGCCCACACTAGCACAGGCTTAGCTTAAAGCAGTTGGGACTGCATCCTATGGCCAGTGTGCCACTCAAAGGAAAAACAGTTATGCTTTAAAACAGTTCTCATGTTTGTCCTCTTCCCTTTCTCTTCTCCTCTGTAATTACTTGAAGGCTTTATCAAGACTGCATCAGCTGAAACTTTTGGGTCACACATTAGTTGTTGAATTTGCAAAGGAGCAAGAGAGTGCACAGGTACTTAGCCAGCCTTCTGTCTCAGACAAGTGCAAAAGGTATGTGTAGAGTAATTTCCTTGTTATGTTTGTGGTCAAGGAAAGGGGATTCTAGATTCATGGTACTTATGTAGTACTTGTGACTCAAAGGATAAATTGGAAGTTGGAAGTCTTCCACTTGGAAGTCTTAACAGGCAGGTTCAGATCTATAGGACAGTGACTGCATTCCTCCCAACAGAACTGTGTCATTTGCACCTGTGAAATGTGCAAATAAGTGACAAAAGCTATATGATAGTGCTTAATTAAAAATACTACAGTAGAGTTGTCAAGTTATTTATTCCACTTTCTGAATGTGAACAAATCAATAGTTTTAATACCTTTGAATTTATGGGCTCTGAAGAGAGTGCATGATAAATAATTTCAATTATTTTCCTTTGAGTGGGTTTAAGTCAGGAGTGTTTGAATATAGGGAGTCTTACTTAAATCTGCATAAGTATTTATTTTAGAAGGCTATCGCTACTGTAATTATACTCATTAATTAATTATGAAGAATTGGTAACACCTGTAGTAATGCAATTGGTAAAAGATGTTATAAACACCTGTGGTAATTTATTTTTATATTTATTAATAGATGATGCATATTTTATATATTACATTAGACATACCTAATTTTTGCCCTGTTTTAATTAAGACTAAATTAATTTTCAGTCTAGAAGAACCAGTGAAAGAAGAAGAGAAGATAGAACCAAACTGTATTAAAATAGAGAATGGAATTGCACCCAACCATGGGTTAGTGTTGGGGTTTTATTTATCTTAATTATTTTATTTTGTTACAGATTATTTTGAAATGTGTTATGTACTGTTGAACAAGATGCTCCAAACAATAACTCCTATGCTACTGTTCCTTGGGCATGCAGGAGTTGTGATAAAGATGGAGTTTCAGTTCCTCAAGTTTAAAATGCTCACATCTGCATGGTGAACTGGTGCTTTGAGCTTGTGGATGGCACAACAGCCTTCTAGCACCATGCATTGCTTTCTTGGGGGCTTGGAGGGCTGGAGTTCTCCCAGTGTTAACAGCACAATATCACTGACTTTTTTCCTGATGCTTCTTCCTTCCTCTCCAGTTTTCATTTTAGCACACATGAAGTAGTAAATTTTTGAAGCTAATGCAGCCCTTTGAGCATTGAGTTTCTGATATTTGTGCAGGCTGCTATGCTGTGCTTTTGGTTTTGGACATGTTGATTGTTTCTGTTTGCTTTAGGCTTCTGCATGGCTTGATACTTCCAGTGTGCCCAAGCCCAGTAAATCTGTCATGCACTGGGGACTACTCCAGGATGTTAAAGGCATTCTAAGTGGCCCAAAACTGTTCTAGGGGAAATAATACTTCAGTGTTACTTCAGATGTAATCAATAGTTAAGCCTCTAGTAATCATTAGTTGTTACGGGTGATTAAGTGGCAGTAATGTTAAGGTGTCTTGTTTTCAATCTTTTTTTCCTCAGCCTCACCTTTCCCATCAATTCTTGCCTCAAATATTTGTATCCACCACCTTCAAGTGCAATTCTAGCAAATATAGCAAATGCCTTGGCAAGCGTGCCCAAATTTTATGTCCAGGTAAGTAAAAAACAGGAAAAAAAAGTATAAAATTAAAGACATTCAATTTTTCCTCTTTTAATTATCCACAGAAGTAATTATTTTTGTCATTGTAAATACTAACTTGGATTTTCTGTGACAGTGTTAACCCATCTTAGTTTTTTACTGTGCTGAGGTGATGAGATTTTATTAATCTGAGGTAGATTACTTAATTGACACTGAAGACTTAACTGGATATGCTCTTCCTAATTAGATGTAACTTGAGTACCTGGAATTTCATTCAGAGAAGATGCTGTGGGTGTTCCTTGTACTGACTATTAGTGTTGTGAGAAGGTGCTGTATGTTTTTTATTAGCCTTGTTAGGGTGTTCCTTGTACTGACTATTAGTGTTGGATCTCAAGTGCAAGTTTTACATTGTTCACAAACATTAAAACTGCTGATTTACACCTGCCAGGAGTGATTGGCTGTTCTACCTAACAAGGAACTGTTATCACTTATTCAAAGGAAACCTACTTATTTTGACTTGTTTCAGGTACTCCATCTGATGAATAAAATGAATCTTCCTCCACCTTTTGGACCAATTACTGCTCGTCCTCCAATGGTAACATTTTAAATGTTTTCAGTACTGTAGGATTGATTCACAATTTAAATTGCTAGCAGCATAGTAGGAGGTGTAAATTTCTAGAGGATTGCAAATCCTGCTGCATTTCACTAGGTACATGTTGGTCTTCTAAAGCAATTCTTTGGACTATACTTTGAACAAAGAAATACCCATCTATGGTAGCAGCACAGGAATGTTTCAAACTGTTGCTTCACTGTTGAAACTGAGATGGCTTTTCAGCCTAAGCCTTCACCCATATGCTTGGACTGTATTCTTCTCAGGAAAGTTCTTGAAGCTGAGTGCAAAGTGAAAATCCAAGGCCATGGCTGCTGTGTTTTTTTTCATCTCAACTTAAAAGAATTAAACCATTCACTGTTATGCTTCAGAAAGCAGATTTTTGTTTTTGCTTGTGGAAAGCTTTTCATTAGTAATGTAGTTTACTAAAATGGTATCTAGATCCCTATAAGCATACTTGTCAAAAGTTCATTAATTGCTTTGGCTGTTGTTATTAAGAAAACAAGATATGTTTAGGATTTTTCCTTCAAGAAGTTTAATTTTTTCAACTTTTTTCCCCATGATTAGTATGAAGAGTATTTACCAGTGCCTGTGCCACCTCCCCCAATCCCACCTCTGCCTCCTGAAGAGCCTCCTTTGCCTGAAGAGGAAGAAGGACTGTCTAGTGGGGATGAATCCGAATATGAAAGTGATAATGATGAGGAAAAGGAGAGGTATGCATTTTACAGTCATTTGCAAGGTTTTGGGCTTGCTAAAAGGGGTGGTTTTACTTTTCCAGCTTCTAGTTCAGCAAGTGGTAATGTTTGCAGAATATAGATGTACCATCTTGTAGAGAGTGTGTAGAAATCTTTCCAGATGCTTAGAGAAACTTCAGAGTGCAGAAGAACAGTGCAAGTATAAATGCAATAAGAAAAGGAAAGTGGCCTATTGGTGTGCAACTTTTCCTTTGTTCCCATGTCCGAAAAAACCCAACTAAACAAAAACTCATCTTGAAGAGTGCAGATATAAAGAAGCAGAAATTAGATTGTTTTCTGAAGTCTTCATTGTTCCACATCTTTCTAAATTGACTCCTCAGCCAGAATCATATGTGCACACCAACTTATCTGCAGATATTGCTAGGGGTGATAATATTTCTGCTGAGGATTCTCTTGCAGCTTTGGGACTGAATTACATAATAGCTGTATTTTTTTTTAATCTTTAAACTAACTCTAAATTAAAAGGCAGCTTTTTCCTTTGCTGTCTAAACTGAGAAGTAAATCAGAAAGTCCCTATGCTGTATTTGGAAAAACACATCATTTGGAAAAAGGTAACCCTGTTGAGTATTATAAAATCAGGTTCAAGCTGTGGGCCATCACAGCTTCAGTGTCCCAGTAAGGAGCATGCTTGGGGAAGGAAGGGCATGACTGACATGTGAGGATTTTGGTCAGTCCTTAAGTACTCTGTGTATATTGATTTTCTATGTGTTACAGCTTCAGTTTTAAGGTAGTTAGTTTTTTAATTGTATTCTGAGAAGTTCTATATCAAGGGCTTTAAGGAAAAAAAGGTTTTTAAAATAAGTACTTTCAAATAGACTGTAAATATCTTTGTTTTATTTTTGTTTGGTTTTGTTTTTATTTTTGTTTAAAATAGAATGACCAAGTTGATGGAATTGGCAACCCTTCAGCCCAAAAGACCAATAAACACAAAGAAGCGCGGTGTTAGAAAAAAACAAAGAATTAAAGACATGTTGAATGTTCCTGTGTGTACTTCCCACAGGTTTGTGGTTTTTGCACTTATCCTACTGGTTTTATTGCCCTAAAAATTCAAATTTTCCTCTAGTTTGAACTAAAGTCTGCTCAACAACCTTCAAGTGTGCCTGATTCAAGCTTCCTGTCAAACTAATAGAAATTCCTTTTCCTAAAAAGATAACTAGTTTCACATCACAGGTGTGATGAAGCAGTTTGGATTTATTGTTTGGGCTGCTTCTTAAAAAAAATTTAAAAACTAAAAGTGTGACACTGGAAGAATAGAAACTGCCTTGCTTTAAAGTAAGTTTGGGTCTTAGAACAGTTCTTGTTCTTGCAGTTCTGTGCCACAGTGGACAGCAGTGCAGTATTTCTATGTTGTGATGAATGATTGTGAATGCATTTTTACTAATAGCTGCCTGCTTCCTCTGAGTGATTTGCTACATTTTTTTAAAATGTTGTATATTTTATATACTAGGTGAGAGCAGCAGCAAGGCCAGGTTTTTTTTCATGCTGAAGTTACTGGTGAAGGTTTTAATAAATGCCTGTGTGTATTGTACTGTGGTATGTGATGGTTGGTTTTGCTCCCACTGCCAGACATACCTTCTGTATCTGCAGTGTTGTAATCACCTGAAATGCTGTTAGGTGAAATGAAGAATGTGTATTTGTGGTAAACAACAGTGTAAAATCTAACTGGAAGAAATCTTGTGTTTGACCATGCATTAATCAGTGTCTGAATCTTTAATTAATCTCTTGTTGTTTTAAACAGTAACTCGCACCCTACACTGTCACCTTCAGATGTCTTTGAGCAGCTGCAGCACGTAGGTCATAAAAAAATAGAGTTTCATATTAGTACTGAGATCCCAGCTGTTGTTCAGACAAACCCAGAAAAAGAAGAAAAAAATGGTAAGAGAGTTTATACTTCAAATGTATTTAATGTTCAAGTCATTTGGCTTCAGCATATAAACGGGTGCTGAAATTTACACCAGGAAATAATTATTTTCCCTTACTGTGTTGGAGCTTTCAACACCAAGTTGCATCATATTTGTATTTGCTGTTCTTCCCATGTTACAAGCTTTGGAAAGGATCCAGAGATTTTTAAAGGTCTCTCTCCTATGTGCTCTGTGGTTTATGGTGAATTGCACTATCTTTTAAATGTTAGGATGCAAATGTTACAAATTTTCAGTATTTTATGGTGCAAATGAATATATCAGATTTTCCTTTTCCAGCTCTTAGAGAGCAGCATCCGAGTGATTGCCAACCCCTTTTCTCTGGTGCACTGATTATCTCCCATAAACATGCTGGGCACTGATAACAATGAGGTGTGATGGCTTTTTAGAGGGTTATGGTCAGTCTGTGCTTCTTGGTACTTCAGAGTAATATCCAGTTTCTTTAAGGAAAAATAGTGAAATGGATACAGGATTGAACAGCAAGGCAAGTTTTATGCTAAATAATGTGTGCCATGGCCCTTATTTGTACTACATGGGGTTTTATAGGACTGTACACTGCAGGTGCTTTTGTCAAACCAGGGATTAAGACTCATTTTTAAGGGTGAATTCAAATTGCCTTACAAAGTCTGCTCTATTATAATGTTGCTGGAAAGAGTATGGTTTTTTTGCTGGCTCTTGATCTTGGTGTGAATAAAGGTATAAACCACTTACATAATTTGTTGAAATTTCAGACCTTTATGCAACCACGGAAGAAATCAATAATACAGGCTTTGGAAGGATTTTCCCAGCTCCTAGCTCAAATGATAAAATGGAAACTGAAGAGGAGGATGATGAAATACCATCAGAATTTATTTCTAGAAAGGATCTAGAAAAAAACAGACTTTCTAGAGAAGGTATAACTGTGAGACTCGATTATCTAGTAACAGCTTTTTGATTTGTTGCAACAAATAGCTTAAATAAGTTTCTATTTTCTTAATTGAGTGTATAGTAAATTATTTTATACTGAGCAAATGTGCAAAGTAAATGAACTAAAGCATGTGTTTTTTTTGTCTTCAAGAAATGGAAAAATATTCTGTTTTCAAAAAAAAATGAACTAAAGCATGGTTTATTTTTTTTTTGTCTTCAAGAAATGGAAAAATATTCTGTTTTCAAAAACTATGAGCCAGGTGATCCAAATTGCAGGATATATGTGAAGAATTTAGCTAAACAAGTTCAAGAAAAGGTAAGTAAACAAGCAAATTAAATATCTATCAAAAGGGCTTTTTCTTAGCATTCATCTTACACTTACACTTTAATTTCAGGACCTTAAGTTCATTTTTGGAAGATATGTTGACTTCCAGTCAGAGGTGGAACGCAATATGTGAGTTCATTTCATACTTGGTTAGAATTAAGCCTTCTATATTAATTTCTATGACACTTCTGAAAACTGGGATTTTAAAAATAGCCACATTTTCTGTGTTCCCGCATAAACAAAAATGTGTTAGACCTAAAAATCTTCATTTTTGAAGATTAAGAAATCGAATTATTTTATTATGTGACTGAAGACCCTATTATTTTGCCTTTATATTTTCTTTCTCAGATTTGCTTTTCTTGGCTGTGTGACACAGAATGAACTGTGTGGGTGATTGTGTGTATCTGATAATTTTGCATATGTCTTGTTTAGTAGTACTGCACATCAATTTGCCATCCTGCAGTTTAATATTACCTTTTAGTAAATGGTTTCCCCAAGCAAAATTGTTTCCAAGGACATCACGCCTCCTTGTAGGCTTTGCTTCTGTTTCTGCTATTTCTCCCACCTGAAGCATGAGAATTGTGCATTTGTACTGTGAAATCTGCAAGGTTTGTTAAACATGAGTCATTCCCAGTTCTCCCCTGTGCCCCTAGGTTTGACATCCGTTTGATGAAAGAAGGCCGGATGAAGGGACAGGCTTTCATTGGACTTCCCAATGAGAAAGCAGCTGCTAAAGCACTGAAAGAAGCAAATGGCTATGTCTTATTTGAAAAACCCATGGTGGTTGTATCCTTTTCTTCAAGCATTTATGTTCTTTGTCATCTCTGCCAAGTTTTGTTGTCACAATGTTCTACAAAATAAAAAATGCCTTAAGAAAACCTGTCAACATAACACAGTGCACTGTTTATGGTAGCTGAAGAAAACACAGATGCAGCCATGATATTTTATGAAAAATCCTTGAGTAGGATTGTTCTCCTGAGGAGCCTCGGGAAAGAAATGTAAACAATAACTATCTGCTGCTGTGGAATGCAACAGGTGCATCTGTGATTGGTGCATGCTTGTTTCTAATTAATGGCCAGTCACAGTCAGCTGGCTCCGACTCTGAGTCACAAGCCTTTGTTATTGCATTCCATTCCTGTTCTTTCTAGCCTTCCGATGAATCCTTTTCTCTCTATTCTTTTAGTCTAGTTTTTAATATAGCATTGTAATATATATCATAATATAATAAACCAGCCTTCTGAAACATGGAGTCATGGTTTAAGAACAGAATTTGCTGGTCTTACATCTTTGATCCTGCAAAGACAATACAGAAGATAATTTAGCTTGTATGATCACTGTATTTAAATTAAATTCAAGGTTTTGTACTTGATTAGGTGTGTGTTTACAGAATCATGATCATAAGAAATGTTCCTGTAAGAGTAAGTGGTTCTAGATGGGTTTTTCAGCTGCAACTGTCTCTTTTTGATTGCACAGCATTTTTTTGTGTGAAAGTCCTTTCTTACTTTTCACTTAAATATTTCATAGTTTATTTCAGTTTCTTTATACTCACATTAACCCCAGCATCTGCTGCTTTTACTGATTTTCCTCTCAAATACTGTGACATCAAAGTTAAGAATTAACATGCTGGGTTGGAAGTTTGTAAATATCAAACATTTATCCTACTGTAGTTACCCTGTTTGCATCTAACCCATTCCCAGTTAGTCCTCCTTATGGGCTCTCTATTAACTCCTGTGCTGTTTATCAGTGAGGTCCTAATCTTAGACTAATAAGACACTGTTATAATACTTCATACTGTAGTGGAATTGATTCAGAGATAAAGGTCACTTTCTAGACTAATTTGTAGGAGTAATCTTTTTTGTCTTTCCTAACTGACTTGTATTACCAGACACTTGTAGTCCTTAATAGAATCTCAGCAATTTGCTCGTTCAGCTAGACCAAAACAGGATGCCAACGAAGGGAAAAGAAAAAAGTAAAACCCTGCACAAGGTATGGACTCTCTACCTGAAAGTAAAAAAAAATAATTGGGCTGGGTTTTTTTGTTAGTGTTTGCTTGGTTTTATTTACTCTCTCTTTAACAGCTTCTTTAGGAATAGTGATGATGGAGAGGAAATGTTCCATACAATTTATTTTCTAAAATGTGTGCTTATGCCAGAAAAACAGAGTGCAAGGTATATAGCTGGTGTAAGTTTAAAACTTCCTTTTTTCCTGTGTAATAAGCTCAGAGGCCAATTATTTTCCTAATCCTGATCTCATAGGGCATTTGTCAGTTTCTCTAATCCTTAATCTGCAAAGATAAGGAGAATAATTTATTTTCTTAAATGTGTGCTTATATCAGAAAAACAGAGTGCAAGGTATATAGTTGGTGTAAGTTTAAAACTTTTCCTTTTTCCTGTGTTAAAAAACTCAGAGGCCACTTATTTTCCTAATTCTGATCTCGTAGGGCATTTGTCAGTTTCTCTAATCCTTAATCTGCAAAGATAAGGAGAATAATTTTGTGGAATCGGACCACTTATCTTTTAGTCATCTCCCAGGGTTTTGGTACTGAAAAGTGTTGCCTCTTACCTCCTTCCTTTCCATCCCTGCTGTAAAGTGATCCTGAAGAACTGGTTTCAGCAATAAACTTCTGCTGGCTGTAAAGAATCTTTGCTAACTTCAGGAAATGAGTTCTTAGTGCTGTTGGGGCAACCTTTAAACTTGTTTGAATTAGTGAAGGATATTCTGTCAGAAAATGCTGCTTAATGTTGCATTGATCAAGGCTTCCTTTGTTGTGGAATGTGTAGGTCCTGATTTTTGGCATTATTTAAACATAATGGGAAAGTATCTTCCAGCAGATAGTTGCTATTTAACTTTTATTTCTTATCATGTAGCTTTACTTCACTGCTCCCTACTCTTGAGTATTTCATTTATGTGAGAGTAAGTCAAGCAAAATCAGCTCTAATTTACCCGAGTGGTTTCATGGCCTGCAAACATTTGCACAGTGAACTCGAAAATGACCATGTGAAGTAACTGGTGCAAGAATAAAAAGCATTTATTTCTCAGTCTTTCTCATGTATCCTCTGATACATGAGTTAACTCATATTTAAAGGGCGCTGACCTTAATTTCTGGTTACAGTTGAGATCATTCTGGTTATGTCTTCACTTAAAACAAAATTAACTGGAGTCTTAGCCCGAGTGCTTATGAAACATTACTTAACCCATGGTGTGGTTTTAATCTGGAGCTTGATCCTTGTTACTCTGAAGAAAATAAAGGATGTGAACATTTGTTTTTGAATTTTACAAATTGGTTGTAAAGCCCACATTGTGGTTATTGTGATGGTAGTATTTCTATTTTTAACAGCTACTCTAAGTGTAGGTTTTTCATTCCATCCATTGTCTAATGATTTTTAAAATCAGGTTTAGGCTTGTTTCTCTCTCTTTGGTCTTACTTCCTATTTTGTGTTACTGTTTGTAGTTTGCAAAATCTGTATTGTGTCAAATTAAAGATCACTTTTTTATAGGCCTTCTGTACTGGTCATTGAAAAGACCTTTGGCTAAAGTGTTCTGTTAGGATCAAGTTTTATGAGACTATTTCAGTCTTGTTTGTCACTCCTTTCTTGTTAGAAAAAACCTTCTATTTGTGTTATATAGTGTCTAATAAGATTACTATGGTTTCTTATATTAAAAAAATATTGAAGTAATTTAGCTATTGGAGAACCTGATGAAATCTGAGCAGTTTTATTCTTTTAGGAATTCCCCTTTTTTCCAACTAATTTTGTACATTAATTCTGAATTCATTAAACATGCTAAATACTTGATTTGCATAAAGAAAATAGCAAAGTGCTTATTTGTTATTGTTTTGATGGTCAACTCAGAAACTTTTTCTAGAGTGAGCAAACCATACTGAGGCGAGATTTAACTGTGCACCTGAAAGTCTTCCATGAGTTACCCTCTTACAAGTGTCCCTGGTGTTCTGTCATGGGCAGAGCTTCTCACTTAGCTTGGCTGTTTATATGTTGTAATCATAGCAATGTGCCATGGAGTTACCCAGGTTTCTAAGGATCCATGAGGTTTAATTAAAAATACTTGCTGTATTTTCCAAGTAATGGTCAAGCTGACCCCTATTTCTGTATGACTGTTTTTCTGTTCCTGCTGGAATATTCTGATGGATGCTGATTTATGAAGTGAAATTCCATGATAAAAACTTGGGTCTGCTTAAGTCTAGGGTTATTTTTCTGTTGTTGGGTGGGTTTTGTTGGCTTTTTTTTTGTTTGATTTTTTTTTCTGCAAAGGCTTTATCCTTTTTTTTTGACAAAACATTACATATGGTTTATAGAATACTGCAGAACTCCTTGCTTGGCTGAAATGTCTTTTTATTGATGGACTGGCAAAAAGTTCACCTACAGTGACTTTCCTGTAGCTAAAATGCAATTATTTGGCAGAAAAGTTATGTGGAAGAAACTGATGTTGAGAGGTCTCCAGCTTCTTCATAAGGAAGCAGTGGTTTGAAAGCTGGCATTAAATGGAAACATGATTGGGTTTTGGACCTGATGGAAATAAAATGAGTCTTAAAATGGCAAAGACTTGAAGGAGATGGAAGAATCTGCTGGTGTCCTAATAGTTCAAGTTATCAAAAAATGTTTTTTCTTTTGAATATGAAGCTTAGTGTTTATGGATTCATCAGCCCTCATTAAATCTCATAAGGGGTTAGAACTGGTTTTTATCAAAGAGGCATATTTGCTTTTTTTTTTGCTAGGTAGCATAAAGTTATGTGTGTGCAATACTGAGAATCAAGTAAAATTAAACCACATTCTGCTGTTCTTCTTTAGAAACATTCCTGCGTAAATACTGCAATAATACTGTCATGCAGAGTGTATCCTTTCTTGTTGTATCCTTTTTTGTGCAATGTTTCCTGTAGCACTCAACTGCATCTTAAGTTTTCATATAGAGTAGGTGTGGGGAGAAGTTAACATGTTTTAAACTTGAGCTAATCTAATAATTTTAAAAAGCAAATTTTTTCAGGGGGGGAAAAAGAAACCAATGAGTTGTCTGTGTTGTGTGAATAGACACAATGAAGGTTCTTAGTCTTAAAAGGTGGCCTTCACCTTCTTCCTCAGATACCCTACTAATTTGTGGTCCTATTCCTTAGAGAAACAGTTCTAGTTCACACCAGCTGATCTGTGTGAGGCTGTGCTGAGCTCACACTGACCAAGTCACCTTGTTTTACTTTAAAAACATATTAATATAATATGTTGGCTAAAATACATTGCAGTGCAGTTTTAATATTAGGGGGTTGACCAGTATTTTAGATCATTTGATGATTACTGTTGTCCTGGTACATGAGAAACAATTTGGAGTTGATTTAGTTAATACATTCCTTACTTTGTTTATTTTTTTTTTGAGTAAAGAAGAAAATTAACAATATCTTGCAATTAAGTATTTGGAGCTGGACTAATAATCAACTATTAATCACTGCTACTTTCTGGTTGTTTGGGTTTTGTTACATTGCTGTCTGCACTTAGGTAGTGTTGTTGCTAGTGACCTACATGTTTCCTGTGGGTTTCATTCTACATTACTGTTTAACATTCCGTAATACAAAATTAATACATTCTGCATTTATTATGATGTATTTTTCACAGACATTAAGCACTTTTAAAACACTAAGCATCTTTCAATTTAAAACTGTGAAAAGCCAGTCTAACACTACTATTTTTTGGTAGTTCTTACTTTTAACATGCCTTTGTGATGTCTGTAATATAAAATTAATACAGTCTGCATTTATTAAGAATTTTTCACAGACATTAAGCACTTTTTAAAACACTAAGCATCTTTCAATTTAGTTGTGAAAAGCCAGTCTAACACTACTATTTTTTGGTAGTTCTTACTTTTAACATGCCTTTGTGATGTTCCAGGTCCCTTTTGTGTTCCTTCTCTTTCAAGTATTATCAAGCTGGGGAAGAAGCAGTGTCACCATCAGGACTCTTGAACTGTGCGTAGTTGCATTTCTAAAGTATTTAAGGCAGAGAATAAATTTTCCCATCTTAAAGATATCTGTAATCTTTAAGTATAACAAGACTTACTACATCATAAATGTATGTTAGATTGCTTGTGAAATCTAATAAATTATTTAACTTCTCTTCATTTTGCTGCCTTCTCTTTGTTTTGACTTTTGTTCTTGGGGTTTTGGGCAGGACAGGTCTTGTCTTTGAGACCAAGCAGAAGGACTGATACATGGGCCTGAATTTGTACTCTGAACCTGGGCACTGTTCTTCCTCAGTAATTAACTTGCATTGTTCATCTGCAGCTTGAAAACTGTCACTGGTGAGACTGAAGTCATTAAAACCAGAGCAGCAGTTAAAACTGGTATAGATGTGGTCCTTGCCCTGTTGAGGGTGATGGTAATAGTTGTCACATGGGATTTGCTACATACTGTGCTGGTTAGTGGAACTGTCTAAAACCTGTGGGAAACATTGCAATGTCATTTAATTGATAAGATATTCTAGTCCAGTGGATTTAAAGGAAAAGTTATCTCATGAACTACTAAATGATAGCTGATCGTGTGGGAGCTGGCTGCTGTAGAAGATTTGTCATTACTCCAGCTGCAAACAGTCTAAATCACTAGTATTGGTGGCTGGACCAAAGTAAGTGTATCTTTGCTATTTTTTTCCAATAGGAGCTGGCTTAGCAGAGTCCTTTGAAGTGCTTTTACTGGAATTATTGTTATTTTACTTGCTGCATTCCCGTGGGGACTGTGTAATTGTTCCGTCAATCCTAGAGGGCGTTTTCACCTTAAATGCTTCTATAGTTCTACAGTAGTATGTCCTAACACCCATGTTGAGCTACACGTACAGGACCAAAGGCCCACAAGTGAATTTTCAGAGCGCCGAAGTAGGATAACAGCAAGATGGTGCTGTGCTCAAGGACAAAAATACTTTACAAGGAAGTGCGGAAAGTGAATGTTCGGGGAGCTGTGCCCTGCCCGCGGTGTCCCGGGGGCGGCGCGGGGCCGGGCTCGCCGTGCCCGGCGGAAGGGGCGGAGCGGGGCGGCCCCAGCGCGCCCGGGCCGCGCTCCTCTCGGGGAGCGCTGCCGGCAGCCTCCGAGGGGCGGCGGTGCGGGCTTGCTTCGCCCGCGGGCAACACGGGGCTGCTGAGGGCGTTCTGTGGGAGCCGCCAGAAGGGACGGGGCAGTGCCGTGCTTCCCCGTGACAGCCTCTGGCACCTGCAGCTCCCGCAGCTCCGCGTCGGGCGTGCCGCGGGTCTGAGCGCGGTCGCCTGCGGGCTTGCTTCGCCCGCGGGAAACACGGGGCTGCTGAGGGGGTTCTGTGGGAGCCGCCAGAGGGACGGGGCAGTGCCGTGCTTCCCCGTGACAGCCTCTGGCACCTGCAGCTCCCGCAGCTCCGCGTCGGGCGTGCCGCGGGTCTGAGCGCGGTCGCGGGTGTGTTGGCGGCTCCGCTCCGGCCGTGACCCAGCAGAAGGCCCGGTGACCCGAGGTCCGTGCTGGCCAAGACAGCGGCACGGCTCTGCAGGGACGCTCCGCTCCCCGGTTCTCTGCATTGCAAAGTTGCTCTCTTCCACATGGCCTCTTAGCGTTTTTCCAAGTTTCAAAAACATTTTGAAGCTAGAGCCTTCAGAGTGCGGTGAGGATTTCAACATCCCCATTCCCTTATTATTGCTTGTGTTGAAGGCAGAGCGGCCATCAACTTGTTTCAGAGAAATTAAAATCTACGTCGAATCTTTAAGGCCCAGGCCTTGGAGCTGGTTGGGCCAAGGTATATTATTCTTAATACTTTGTGTCATTTACTGCTTTGTGTATTTACTGCTGTAAGTAAAACTTGCCAATCTAATAAATGCCTTTTCTTATCAGAGAGGATGGAATTTTCTTAGCTGATTTTATGTTAATGCACGGTTATCCTATCAGGGCCAAAAAGCATTTCTTCATGAAAATAGAAGCACGCAGAACAACTGTTTATGGTTGAAACTTAATCTGTAAACTTAACTGAACATCTACAAGTAAATAATGGTATTAAAGCTATTTTGTTCACAAGCAGAAAAGCCAAATATACCAAATGCTTAATTCTAAATAACTCTGCCTGCTTGTGAAGAGCAGTGACATCTGATAGCAGTAGGCTCTGGAAGGCTGGTTCTACATTTTGTAAACTGTATTTTGTGCCTAAATTTGCTCCAAAGAGTGCTCTGCTATCTGAGAGATATGGATCATCCTTTCCTTGAAGCAGGTGTCAGGGCAGTTTAGTTGAAGTCTCATAAAATTTTATATCAATTTATATCTGGCTAATTGTATCACAGCAGGTTGGAGTTTTCAGCAGTGCATTCCCAAGTGTGTATTAAATCAGGAAAAGCACTGATTTCCTTTGTGTGGCAAACCTGAGGGCCATTGGGTTCATGTTTAAACCTTCACTGAGGTGTTTGGTTTCCCTTGTGACAGGAATCTCTCTTTGCTCTGTTACTGTAAGATAACTTTTTATAAAGAATAGTTACTTACAGGAAAGTAACAAGATTCTGTATTTTGTTATAAGGGAGGTATTAGTTCTGCCATTTGTTTGCAGAAGTTCTTCTTGTAGGATTTCTTTGTATCTCAGACTCTCTAAATCAAGTTCTAAACAGGAAGAGTGCAGAATAAGGTTCTCAGTAGAGTAATGTAAACCTTGATAGTTGTTTGGTTTCTGGTTTGTTATGTGTTGTAACAATCTCTAGGTGAGGAAAAGGAGAGGCAAGAGAATAAGGTTCTCAATAGAGTAATGTAAACCTTGATAGTTTGGTTTCTGGTTTGTTACATGTTATAACAATCTCTAGGTGAGGAAAAGGAGAGGCAATTTTAAGTAAATGCAAATAGGATATGAGTTGGGAAATGCAGTTCCTAGCCTAGCTCATTAGAAGGAAATGTAGCTTCAAACCTCTGGAAAGCTCCTTTTGCAGAACTCTGTACTTGGGCACTTGGAAGGAGATTTCTTGGTTATGGAGTTTCACAGCACTTCTAAACATGCCATCGCCCATGTTCTTAAAAAGAGAATATCTGCACACAAATCCTGCAGGTGTGCAGAGATCAGACATCTAGCATTTCTGGGTTTGAGTCACTATAATTAATGATTTCTGTGTCTGAGAAATCTTCCAGGTTTCAGGCTGTTGTTTGAATGAGAGATGTCATGCGTATCATGAATGACAGACTCACATATGTTAAACATCCAAAATATCTGGGGTTTCATAACAAATCATGGTAAGAAATATGCTGCCTCTGCAAGGTCATGTCCAAATATGTTCAAGTTGTAGCAACACCATTTGGAAAAAAAGATGCCTCTCAATGATAAATAGGAATGTAAAATAATGTACATTAAAATAAGAAAATGTCCTTTTCAGTCTATGTAAGTATTCCTTTGCCCTTTGGGGTAGTTTTTGGCTTTACACTAATAAAACCACAGCTTTTACATTCTGGGGGCAGCCTGCGTTAGGCAAAAATCTTAAGTGCATGAAAACAAAGTGACTGTTAGTATGGGAATTTGATACAGGTTAGATAAGATCCAGTTCTCATACAAAATAACAGGTAAATAAATGTGATGCCAGGGATGGGTGTTTACCTTTAACTGTGTATTTTCTAATGTGTACTTTACCCTCTTGCAGGAACATTGACAGTTAGTTAGAAGAGCCCAGCTGATCACAGAGCACTGGATGGGGATCTATTTTCTGCTGTTAGTTGCAGGGCTTTGTTGGGGGCAGTACAACCCCAACACTGTCCCCAAGAGAACCTCCATTGTGCATCTCTTTGAATGGCGCTGGCAGGATATTGCTGAGGAGTGTGAACGCTACTTAGCTCCTAATGGATTTGGAGGAGTTCAGGTATGTCTGCTCCTATCAGTAGGTAGTGAAATTGCTACAGAGATGATAATTTGTTTTTCACAGAAAATGTTCAATTTGTCAAAGGACAGGTACTGAACAAGAAAAATAGAAATTGGTAATGGAAGTAGTAAATGCTGACAAATATATTCTTCAGCTATCTTCGAGTAAGCATGGATTTATTTCATTGCTCCAAAGTGCATGTTTTGCAGTCTGTGCTATTACATTTAGATGAATTAGAATTGCACATCACTTACTAAATCTTTTTTTTTACTGCTGTGAAGAGTAACCTATGTTTATCTGCTTCATATTATTTAAATCAAGGAAAGCTCTTAAGAGCTAAGTAAATGTAAAACGAAACTATGACTGAACAAAGGCTTCCAAAGAGAACAAAAAAGTGCTGAAGGTGTTAAATAATTAAGTACAAAAGGCTGCTGACTGTGTTCACCCAAACTGGCAGGTTTCTCTCTGTGTAGCACAGAGTCACAGTAAGCCACTAAGAGACCCTTCTTTGCAGGAACCTGGTGTGAGCAGGCAGAAGTGAACTGAGCACAGGTTCTGGTGAAGGTGTCCCTGTGTGAGTCAGTTCTGTCTGAACAACAGCGACGTGTTCCTGTGGAACCAGAACCGGCACTTGGGTGGGGTAGCATGGCAGGAGAGCTGCCACTTATTAAAGTATTTCCGTTTGCCTGTCACATTGCTCAGGAAAAATAGGTGTGAAGGCTGTCTCTTGTAGCCCTAGAGATTGCAAGCTGGCCTGAGTGAGAACTCTCCCATAATTTTCAAATAATCATCTTGTCTTTGCAGCCTTCTTTCCAGACCAGATGGACTTTAAACTGATTTCTCAGACTGTGGCCTATGCCTGTTCATGATTTTAATCTGTTCTGTGGCAGGGACTCAGAAGTTTTTTTCAGATGATGACTTGCTTGGAGGTATCAGCAAAAGCTTGTTGCCTAAAAAGTATCCTGAAAAGTCTGTAAAAGGAAGAGGTAGAACTCACCTGGAAACTTACAAGAATTAGGTCAAGAATGCGTTCATCCAAAGCATTACAAAAATGGGAAGTTGGATCAGTTTTAAAGGCAGGATGTTATGTCAGTTGTTATGCAGTCACTTCCTTCCTCTGCTGACCTAGTTCTTCAATTTCAGATGCTTCTTTTTGAAACTTGAAATCACAAAGAAAATTTGGCCACTCTGTTCATGGACCTAATTGTTATACTGGCTTTCTACCTGTTGAAGGCCAGGCCTCAGTCTTTTGTTTCCCACCTACTACAGTGTAAGCAGAGAATACTGAGGATCTAAGTGTTCTCTAAAAATGTCATTTCTCTAAAAATACTGGGCAAACAAATTAACCATTTTCAGTATCCTGTTACCAAGTGCCATTGTTTTATTGACAGATTTCACCTCCAAATGAAAATGTTATCATTACTGACCCCCGGCAACCCTGGTGGGAAAGATACCAGCCTGTCAGCTACAAGCTGTGCACAAGGTCTGGAAATGAAACTGAATTTAAAGACATGGTGACCCGGTGCAACAATGTTGGAGTAAGTACTTTTAAAACCTTCTGGTGTTTACAATGCAAGGATATAGCCAAACAGTGATTCTACCATTTAAGAAAATGGATGCACTGTTACCTGCCTGTCTGCTGAGCTGCATGTTTTAGCACCCTTGCTGTATGCTAATAAAATGATGGAATAAATTATTGGCTGAAGCAGGCAAGCAGAAGTGGTGGGATAGGGCAGGAGGTATGGGAGAGAGAATATTAATTAACGGTGCTGTGGGAAGTAGCTTTTTCAAATTGTTATGTGGATACTGTTCTCTAGGTGCACATTTACGTGGATGCAGTAATCAACCATATGTCTGGAGCTAATGCTGGGGCTGGTGACCATGCTACTTGTGGAAGCTATTTCAATGCAAAGACTGAAGATTTCCCAGCTGTGCCCTATTCTGGCTGGGACTTTAACGATCATAAATGTAAATCTAGAAGTGGAAACATTGAGAATTATCATGATATATCTCAGGTAAACCTACAACTGTGGCTTTCATGTACAACTGTTTCTGTGCTGTGATTTCTTTGCTCTTATTTACAGTGAGATATTTTTTAAAGGAATTTTTAAAAGCCTCATGAAAAGCCATCCAAATTAATAATAGAGGTTAGTGTTGCTATGAGGAACACAACTTCTTAAAGGGATAGCTGTACTTGAGACAATGGCTCAATTTCAGATTCAGACAAATGTGCTTATGTAATTAATAAAGACAATTTAAAGCTCCTAAAATCTATTTAGTGTGCTAAAAAAGGTAGAAGTTATTATTTGCTTTTTATTGTAATTTGTCTGCAGTGTCCAGTGAAGTGCTAGAGGATAATTCCAGAATTGCTTAACATCTGAGGTTTCCAGTATGATTTGAAGAGCATTTTAGAGTCCTCATAATGCTTACTGCACTTTATTCTTTTCCACAGGCCCTTGAATGTATCTCTGCAAACCGGTCTGCCTGCTGGCACTTACTGTGATGTCATTTCTGGGCAAAAGGAAGGTGACTTCTGTACAGCAGTTGAAGTACATGTTGCTGCTGATGGCATGGCTAATTTCCTAATTGGGAATGAAGACCAAGACCCATTTATTGCCATTCATGTTGATGCTAAATTGTAACCGGATGTGTTGTACATGTGCTGTTCCTTCTCCTCTGTATCTTTGTTAACAGCAAACAGATGTGCAGAATGTCCTGCCTCTCAGGACTGCATGAACCGAGACAGAGCAAAGTGTGTTAGCTGTGTTACCAATGAAATAGTGAGCAGCTGCTGTACAGAGATGAGAACTGGTGGTGCCATGCAGATCTGGGACTGGTCCTATACATCTGCGTGCATTTGTAAGTGTACTTTATTCAGTTGAGGTTCTAATAAAAAATGGAAGGAGAAGATTGACATTAAATTTAAAATTGTGCTGCCGCGTTCAGAAGTGGGGGATGCTGTGAGATCCACTCACAGCCCATGGGGGAGGTGCCCATGGTGGAGCAATGAGAGTAGATTCTGGGATCCAGTGGAAGACCTGGTGGAGAGAGGAGCCCTTGCTTCCAAGCTGGAGCAGCCTGTCTTTGGACTGCACCCCATGGGAAGAGAGACCCAGGTTGCAGCAGTTTTGGGGGGTTGTGTGCCCATGAAAGGGACTCAGCTGCAGCAGATGAGGTTTGGCTGCTGCTCTTGAGAGCGGACCCACACCAGGGCAGTAGGGTGAGGAAGCAACTCTCATGGGTGCCTGGTGTTGGGCCAGTGTAAAACCATGACAGTTGTTCATACCCTGGTGTGAACTCAGTCTAATTCTGAGAGCAAGACACCTCTGAATGCTGGCAAACTCGTTCATTCTCTTAATGCTGTTAGATTTCCTGTCATCTTTCAATCAGCTTCTACTGCTTTTCCCTTCAGAGGGTCTGTGTGTTATGTTTTGGTGCAGGGATTGAGAGACATAGACCATGCTATGCAAGCAAAACCATTTATTACAGTAGTTCACCAGTATTTATCGGTCTCTAAGTTCTGTCCAATATTTTCCACTCGGACTCCTTTGCTCCTGTTCCCTTAGTAACACAATCTTCTCAGTTATCATTCTTTCACCAGCAATGCCCGTGTTATATTCTTTTGCCAGAGCAGTCAGAGTGACCACACAGGATGTCTTCACTTTTGTCCTTGCCTTGAGTTTCTCTCTCCTGGGGCCAGGAGGATGACGGCACCACTCAGCTCAGCTTCTGTGGCTTTCTGATCTTTCTCATCTCCCCCTTTTTTTGGGTTTTTGACTCTAAGTAATTTTGACTCTATCATTACAAAAAAGTTCCCGGATATCTGTCATACAACAGTTAAACATGAAGGAACAACATGTAGGTAAACAACTGTTCCGTGACCAAAATAGCAGCAACATGGATTTACTGGAGGGATTAAACTGCTGCAGATCAAATTCAAGGTTATAGGACTTAGTTAATGACTGTCAGTGAATCATCTCTCCAGCAAACAATCCTGTTAAAATCACAGCTCCCTGAAACTACAAGGTTAATTTTAACAAATGTATTTCAATGCATCCTGCAGGCACTCTAACAGTGTTGTGCCATGGCTTCAGTACTGCGTGCAGGGCTCGGTGCTGCCGTGCAGGGCTCGATCCTGCCGTGCACAGCCCGATCCTGCCGTGCAGGGCTCGGTGCAGCCCGGTCCTGCCGTGCAGGGCTCGGTGCTGCCGTGCAGGAGCTGCTGGGCGGCTCTCGGCAGGCACAGACCGGGGACCCGCAGGTCAGCGCTGCCGCCTGGCACGGGAGGAGGCGGGAGAGCTCAGACAAGCCAGGGGGGCTTTCAAGCCCAGGGGGTTAATACCAGCCATGGGGTATTACCCTGGGCAGGGGCAGCTCCGAGGGGGCTCCACCACTGCCAGCAGCACCGCGCACCAAATTGAGGATCGACCCAGTCTGTGGATTTGTTCTCAGGATGTGTCTTGGATCCACAACCAGGTGTGTTATCAGAATCTTTCACGGTACTCCTGTTGCAACTGCTTACAGGAGTTTTTTAATGTCAAGGTCTCTTTCATTTAGGAAAGAGGTACATGGTGTTTAACCCATTATGACAGTGGCTCCAGTTTGGAGAAATTACTGTACCATTTTAAGTTGTATTGACACTACTGGAACACCTCCCCAGTACTCACAATTCCATGGTTTTTCATCCAACAAACACTGCTGATGTAACTTAATCAGCTGTGCCAGCATCTTGCTTTCCCTCGGATTGTGACTCACAAAGAACGACCCAACTCACCCTTCCTAGGCAGAGGGGGATGTTAAAAGCTCCTCTGCAGGGTCCTTGCCTGTTGCTGAGGGGGCACCAGGATTCTTTCCCGGCACCCTCCTGAGCTTATAGAGTTTCTAAAATAGCTCTCCAGAGAGGTACAAAACCAGCTTCGAGTTTACCACCTCTCATCGCCCATTCATCCCACAGTTCCACTGGGAAAGCCATTCTGGCCTTTAACCCTTTAACATGTGATTCTGACCAGTGTAAAATCATTTTAAGAGAATGAGAAGCAACTGTTTTTCTGGGCTTCTCTAAAAGTTTATACATAAGTTGTGACATGTTTTTCTTCTGAAGACATATTCCTGCCCATGTCCCCCACAGCTCACCATCAAAACCTGAGGGGATGGATGCTGGCTATCTCCTGCTTCCTTTCTGCAGCACTTCAGTTCTGTGGGGCATTCCCAGAACGGCTAGATAGGTAAATTGTCGTTTCTCACCATTGGGACACCATTCCCGGGGATGGAGAGACACAGACCATGCTATGCAAGCAAAGCTGTTTGTTGCATCAGTTTACCAGTATTTCTAGGTCCCTAAATTCTGTCCAAAATTTTCCACTCAGACTCCTTTGCTCCTGTTCCCTTAGTAACACAATCTTCTCAGTTATCATTCTTTCACCAGCAATGCCCGTGTTATATTCTTTTGCCAGAGCTGTCAGAGTGACCAGATTGAATGTCTTAACTTACGTCCTTACCTTATCTCTCCCAAGGCCATGAGGATGGTGGCACTAGCCAGTTCAGCTTCCATATCTTTATTTTTTCTTTTCTGTTGCACAGGTCCGGGACTGCCGTGTGACCGGCCTTCTGGATCTGGCCCTGGAGAAGGACTATGTGCGCTCCAAGATTGCAGAATACATGAACCATCTCATTGACATTGGTGTAGCAGGATTCCGAATTGATGCTGCCAAGCACATGTGGCCTGGGGACATAAAAGCATTTCTGGACAAGCTGCATAATCTGAACACTCAATGGTTTTCTGCCGGAAGTAGACCTTTCATTTACCAGGAGGTAATCTCCACATTTTCTCCTTTATGTTTGCCTTTGTCTTTTGTATTTCTTTTGCCTCCTCCTTCAGAGGAACAACAATACATCTTCATCCAACTTACCCTAGAAGGAGCTCACAATTTACTTAGAGCAGCCCTGCAGACATAGTTCATTTTGATTCGTAAAGATGCCTCCACAACAGATTGTCAATCAGCTTTAGCTGTCCTTTCATCAGTCATGTTTTTGCATGTGTCCCTCATGTCTTATACTGAATTTGTGTTGCTATATACAGCACAAATACACAATTACTTTCTTCTCATTGTAAACCAAGAGCTCATGTCAAGTTCTGTACATTGCATTGTTGGTCTATGTGAGACAACAGGGATGCAGGTTTTCTTTCCTGTATCAGGTAATTGATTTGGGTAGCGAGCCCATCAAAGGCAGCGAGTACTTTGGAAATGGCCGAGTGACAGAATTCAAATACGGTGCCAAACTGGGAACAGTGCTCCGCAAGTGGAACGGAGAAAAGATGGCCTACTTAAAGTAAGGATGAAGGTGCTGCAACTTATCCAGGATTCTCTGGATCCACCAGTTGACAGGGTAGCTTCAAGTCTGTGTTTTTGTTTAGGAACTGGGGAGAAGGCTGGGGCTTTGTGCCTTCTGACAGAGCCCTGGTCTTTGTGGATAATCACGACAACCAGAGAGGACACGGGGCTGGTGGAGCTTCTATTCTAACCTTCTGGGATGCCAGGTGAGGCATTGCTCTTGTGTGGGTGATGCTTCCTGCTTTGGCTTGTTTGTCTGTGTGTTCTCTGTCAGGTTCCTCCTTCCATGTCTCATTCCTTGTTTGTCCACCAAACAGGCTCTATAAAATGGCAGTTGGCTTCATGCTTGCCCATCCTTATGGGCTCACACGTGTGATGTCAAGTTTTCGCTGGCCAAGATATTTTCAAAATGGAAAGGTGAGCTGTTGATGCTGAAGATCCATCCATGGGGATTAAGGGTGAGAGAAGGGCCACAGAAGTAGTCCAGTGCATTTCAGGTTTTTCGAGTGATTTCCCTGTCCCAGGCTGGATGTGAAACTTTGATGCTCCCTCTAGCTTTGTTCACCAGAGGGGCTCTCTGCATTTTCAGTCGGGAGATCTAAAGCTGTCTTTTTAATGCCAGGACGTCAATGACTGGTACGGACCCCCAAGTAACGCAGATGGCTCCACAAAGGCCGTCACCATCAACGCGGACACGACCTGTGGCAACGACTGGGTTTGTGAACATCGCTGGCGTCAAATCAGGTAGGGCCCTGGGGAGAAAGAAGAAGTAAAAGCAGTTGCTTTTGCTTCCTGCTCCATGTGGCTTTAGAGGTGTTGCAGGTGCAGAGGCAGGCATTGCTTGTGTTTCCAGGAACATGGTTATCTTCCGTAACGTGGTGGATGGTGAGCCTTTCTCCAACTGGTGGGACAATGGCAGCAATCAAGTGGCTTTTGGCCGTGGTAACAAAGGCTTCATCATCTTCAATAATGATGACTGGTGAGTAAGAGCGAAATGAAGTATAATTTGTTATGATTATTAAAAATTATTATGTGTTAAATATGTATTTTAAAAATCTAGTTATTAATGTAACCTTTTTCGGTGTTGCTAACTTATAGATCTTTCTTATGGATTATTATTGACAGTTATTGACAATTTAAATGTAGCATTTTCCACTCTATCATAGACTCTCTTCAGTCTTGGCTGTTTAGACCTTGTAGTGTGGTCTTTATATTTCCCAGTTCTGAAGCTGGCTGTGTGACTGGGTCTGGTCAACCAGCAAAGTCTGAATTTATAGTAATGAGGGAACTTGTAAACTCAGGAATATGTTCTGGTTTTAAACAGTTTTAAAAACTGTTGAAATTGTTTACACGAGAATGAGATGATAAGAGAATGGGAGTATGTCAGGGCTGTAATAAGTAGCTGTAGTTGTGGTGATGAGCAATGTGAAGCATGTAGTGCATGAATAGATTCTGCAGTGTCCAGTGAAGTGCTAGAGGATAATTCCAGAATTGCTTAACATCTGAGGTTTCCAGTATGATTTGAAGAGCATTTTAGAGTCCTCATAATGCTTACTGCACTTTATTCTTTTCCACAGGCCCTTGAATGTATCTCTGCAAACCGGTCTGCCTGCTGGCACTTACTGTGATGTCATTTCTGGGCAAAAGGAAGGTGACTTCTGTACAGCAGTTGAAGTACATGTTGCTGCTGATGGCATGGCTAATTTCCTAATTGGGAATGAAGACCAAGACCCATTTATTGCCATTCATGTTGATGCTAAATTGTAACCGGATGTGTTGTACATGTGCTGTTCCTTCTCCTCTGTATCTTTGTTAACAGCAAACAGATGTGCAGAATGTCCTGCCTCTCAGGACTGCATGAACCGAGACAGAGCAAAGTGTGTTAGCTGTGTTACCAATGAAATAGTGAGCAGCTGCTGTACAGAGATGAGAACTGGTGGTGCCATGCAGATCTGGGACTGGTCCTATACATCTGCGTGCATTTGTAAGTGTACTTTATTCAGTTGAGGTTCTAATAAAAAATGGAAGGAGAAGATTGACATTAAATTTAAAAGTAACGCAGATGGCTCCACAAAGGCCGTTACCATCAACGCGGACACGACCTGTGGCAACGACTGGGTTTGTGAACATCGCTGGCGTCAAATCAGGTAGGGCCCTGGGGAGAAAGAAGAAGTAAAAGCAGTTGCTTTTGCTTCCTGCTCCATGTGGCTTTAGAGGTGTTGCAGGTGCAGAGGCAGGCATTGCTTGTGTTTCCAGGAACATGGTTATCTTCCGTAACGTGGTGGATGGTGAGCCTTTCTCCAACTGGTGGGACAATGGCAGCAATCAAGTGGCTTTTGGCCGTGGTAACAAAGGCTTCATCATCTTCAATAATGATGACTGGTAAGTCAGTGACAGAAATAGTGCCAGAGAGAACAACAGCATCCTTCCTCAGCAATCCAACATGAGTTATTTGAGTGCATGCTGGGTCCAGAGAGCTAAAAGGGGAATGTAGGAGGGGTAGGATCAGAAAACCCATGGTTTTCAGTGCCCTTCAAATAGGGGAGTAAGATCATGGTCAGAAATCTTACACACCATTTGAAATACCTGTTTTAAAAACAATGCATAAATCGTGTTTATTTTCTCATAGGAATATGAATGTCTATGTGCAAACTGGACTGCCTGCTGGCACCTACTGTGATGTTATTTCTGGACAAAAGGAGAACAACAGATGTACTGGAAAGCAGGTGTATGTTTCTGGTGATGGAAAGGCTAATTTCCAGATTAATACCGATGCTGAAGATCCATTCATTGCAATTCATGTTGATGCCAAGTTATAATTCGGGAGAAATAGCCTCCTCTGTTTGGTCTGCATATTACTGCTTCCCCCATATGTTGTCCCCTGCTTTTTGAGCATGAGTGGCTCTCTACTGAATAATAAATGGCATTCAAATGAAAGAGTAATGTTCTTCTCTTAATGAATTAGATGTAACTTTATCCCCTCATAATTAGTGGCAATGCAGTAGTAAGTTTTAAGGCAATGCAGCACTCCAGTTCCTGTGTAACAAAAACATTGGAGAGAAAAAAAAGAAAAGAGTCCAAGCCAGCTGAAATGGCTAAGCTAAGGTGCAGTATTTCCAGAGCTGATCCATGCACGCACACTTGTATCCCAGGGCAGCCCCCTTGTGGGCTGTCAGCTATGAGCAGTGCCTATGTACAGAGTTTATCCCTTCCTTATGACAAATCAAGCCTGGACTCTGGGTCACTGAAGGAAGCTGGGCTGTGCCAATCAGTTGTTCCAGCCTGTGGTATCAGTGAAACCAGCAGGTTACCAGGTTCACAGTCAGCTTGTGCTTGGACAAAGCAAAACCTCGGCTCTTGCATAATTTGCCCCAGTGGTTTGAGGCAAGCGAATGCTAGGACGCTGTCCTGCCCCATCCGTGCCCAGACAACACCGTGGAGTTCTGTGTTCCAGCAGACTGTGGAGGAGTGAGAGCAGGCTGATAACAAACTCTGTGCTTCTTCTTCTCCCCACCTTTGCCCTCAGAGCCAGTCTTGTAGGCACAGAATATAATATCCAGCCGAAACAGAACACAAATGATACAAGCATCATAATGTCACCCTAGTCCACACCATTCTTCTCTAATATCTCAAAGAAATATGCAAACAGAGCACAGCTTTGGCAGCTTTCCCAAATCCCTTGTCAGCTCTGAGAAAATGCTGAGGTAAAAGCAAGTGTGCAGGCTTTGCTCTAAGTCAGAATCTCTGCTAGGCCAAAAGTGCTGAGTGCATCCCATTCTGGAGGGAAAAATGGAAGGAGGTTGTTCCAATTTGAGGTCAAGGTGCAGTCTGAAGTTTCCTTTCTGTGGTGTTGCTGATGGATATTGGCTCTCAGTGTGCTCAAGGGCTCCGAGTGTCTGTCAGGGCAGTCAGGCTGTGGGAAGGGTCCCTGGCCCAGCACTGGACCTCCCCTCTATCTCCCTGCATCTCCTGGATCCCTGCACTCGGCCCCTGCGTCTGTGGAGAGGTGCCAGAGATCTGGGGACTGGTGGCAGGGGCCTCATGGCCTTTGCAAACCGGTGATTGTCCCACAGGGGCGGGCCAGGGAGTCCTCGCGCCCCTCTGAAATGGACAGGAGCTGTCTTAAGGCCTGCATTCAGCTCTACCCCTCAGAAACCAGGATTCCATCCTCTGTCATTCAGACACGGCCCAATCCCAAATGGAATAATCAGTTCACATGTCAAATTACAAACCCAACATCCACCCCACAGCTTTTGTGGCAAATGAGTGAAATGACACCCACTGATCTGAGGTGTCCATAAATCAACAGGCTGAATATGGAGAAGGTTGTCTGTGCCTGTGAACACATGTGGATCTTACTGCTGATCTCTAAGTTTTCAAAAGAATGTTAGTATTATAAAATGTTTATCTTTATTTTTATCATTTCCATTGCTACTCTTCTATGTGAAGTGATGAGAGTGAGGCCTTCATTTTTTTATACAAGTGTTCGATGAAAAATTGAAATTATCTTTTGAAATTATCAAACTTAAGGTATTTGCTGGGGCAGAACAGGAAGGCACAACAGATCTTCTGAATCGTAAAATTTTAGAAATTTTTGGCACAATGGAATATTTCATTTTCTGTTAGAAACAGTGCTCATTTTCATTGGCCAGACCATGCATTTAGCTGTGTAATTAATGTCTGATTCTAAAAACAAATTGTAAATTTACACTTATGTTCCTTTTTTTCTTTTTTTTTTTTTCTTTTTTTCTTTTTGGTTTTTTTTTCCCCTCCATAGGTCTGTCTCTAAGTGCAGCTTTCAGCATACTAGTGATCAGAATTTAATGGAAGTGCAGTACAATAAACCAAAGTGAACAGCTGTCTGTATGTACAACTGCTCACTGCTAATATTTAAGGCAAATATATATATATATATATAGATCGGCAGACACATTCAGACATTCACATTCATCCAAACAAAAATTTGTGATTTGATAATTTATCCTTCTAGTGGGTTTAATCCACGGAGTTAAAATTGTATATTTGTCAGATGAGTGGAAATAAACAGTGAGATAAGAAAAGCCATGAACCACTAGCGTACTATGAGTGGACCAGAAAGTTGTTTACTGAATTATTCATGGCAACTTATTTTCTCAGCTAAGTGCAAAGAAAAAATATAGAAACTTTCGTTCAGCTCTGCATGCCGTTGTGTCAGCTTATTATTTCCCTGAATCACTGTTACTTTTCTAAGAGAAGAAGGAGTTTTGTAAAGGGAAACTAACAATCTATTGTCTCTTTTATGGAGACTGTAAAAATTTTATTCAAGTTATTTTCTTTTAAGGGGAAACAAATGAAAAACTCAACACACAACACTAACTTTTAAATTGCTGATCGTGTGTTTATCTGCAGTCTGTGTTTTTAATAGTTTTAGTGTATTAGTCTCATTGCCCAATTCTGAACAGTATACAGATACTGCCTTTGCAAGTGTTTTCATGCTGTGGAAATTTTAATTTTGCCTTAATGTTAAATCAGAATGGTTGTAAGAATGAATGCGGGTGACACTGTTTGAAATGATAGTGGTGAATTATCTTCAGTCACTAGAGACAAAATGAGAGTGAGTGCTCGAATTTTCACCCAGTTGGCACACTAAAGCACTCTAGGATGGGGATAAATAGCCAAATTATTTAGTGTAGGATTAAGAAAGATGCTGTAGGAGAGCAGTAAAGTGTGAGCTGTGCTGTGGCACTTCCGAGTTGAAAATGGAAATACCAAATGTTTGTCAGAGAAAGACAAATGTTTGGTATTTCTTGGTCCTACACGAATAATTATACTGCATTATCCAGCCAACAAGACTGAGAAGTAGCTAGCTTAATTAACTGCACACCTCTACAGGCATCTAAATCTCTCTTCACTTGTCTTTGCTTTCCTGCTCTATAGCATTTGTAATCACCTTTTTGATTATATTTAAACATACGTAATTTGCGTGGTCTGGTAGAAAATGGCAGGACAATATTTTACTGTAAAGTTGCAGCAAGATCATATTGGGATCAAGAACATATCAGAACCTTCCTGCTGAGATGGACCCTGGGATATCTGCCATGGAATGCATGTGGATTTCCATGGGCTGGTATCATTGCATGTCAGAGAAGCTCCTCTGAACCTTGTGAAGACAGATAATGGGGTACAACAGCAAGTAAGGCAATAAAGGCTGATAACATGAGGGTTCTCAGCCTGGGTTCAGTGCGCATTTCTGCCTTTGCTCAAATACCCCTTGAATCTACCTTTTTCTAGACAGTGCAGGTAGCAAAGCACAGCTGATATATGCAGGGGACAGGGAGAGAACAGAGCAGTCAGAGCACGGTTGGACAGAGAGCAGGGCAGAACAATCAGATGTGTGGCAAGCTAAAAGGAATACCAAGCTTGATTAAAATGTTAACTAGAACAAGACATCACAGAGAATGGGCAAAGTCCTAGATGACTTGTCTAGAGGAATAAACTGTATTCATGGGTAGAGCTTGCAGACTGAAAAGGGAAAAACAGGAATAAAACTAGCAGTTCAGGAAGCACCAAGTTTGTGTATTGTAGATAGGACATGCATGCTTTAACTGGGGAAAGAAATTGTATCTTAGAGCAGCTGTGAATGACAGAACTTTATGGTGCTGTAACCTGTAGCAAACTATTTACTTTGTCATAAAAGTAAAGACCTTGTGCTGACAAATAGATGGCCATATTTCAGTATCAGGCTTGTAAGCTATATAAGAAGAATGGGATGCTAAAATCTCTTGATAAGAGAACTCAGATGATACAAAGAGAGAAGGAAATGTGTCATAAAAATATGAGCACTGGATTTGGATGTAGTTGTCTACTGTTCTTTAGAATCCATTTCAGTATCTCTCCTACAAATGTTTAAAGTAGCCATCTTTTACATAGAATAACTACCACAT